CCTGGAGGAAATCGTTGATCGGATAGCATCATCTAGTCTGTGCAGCGCGGCGACCTGGTAACTCGTTGCTAACGGATGACAGCCATCCGTTTCACGTGAAGTTCAAACCAGGAGTCTCTTTGCGTTCAGATACCACAAGAAAGGTCTACGTCATTCAAGAGCGCAGGAAGGTTTATTTTTGGTCAATACAGCCTTTCCTATCTTACTCGCTACAGAATCCGGAGGAGCAGATATGTATCACTGTAAAAAGTTACATCAGCTGCAACATCCCAAACGATACGGTCTCCTACTTTCATATCATGAATAATATTTAACGAAAATGCCGCTGTGCTGAGAGTAAGCATTTTTGACTAACTTAATAACCTGTTCTGATTCGTCAGTTACTTAGATGGGGTGAAGAAACCAGCGTCATCTACACGAATGTCACAAGATAATGCTTTGAATAGCAGATTGGCGTTCAAAAACATTTCGCTACTCGATGGCCTACAGGAAAGTAATTAAGCGATGAGTTTTGGAGTGATTTGCAAATGCTGGCGAGACACGTGGTGATGTACTACATAGTCTAATGCACTGTTTCATGGCTGCAATGCGTCGTGATCGACCTGACAGCTGAATTAATCAAAACAGACCGAAAATGAAACGTGAACACGACTGAAAAAGTTCGGAAGAATCTGACGCAGGACAGGAGCAGCAAAGATTTAGAAAAGCGAATGAAGAGGCGAGTTTGAGTAACTGGTTGAGGAAAATCGTTTAGAAAAAGACCAGGAGACGCCGTCGGTACTACTTCTAGAAAAAAAAACATGGTGAAGTCTTTTCAGCATAGCGAGTATCTCCGAACAGACGATAAATTGTGGTGTACTGACAAACAGGGCTGAATAAGGCTGGAAACCTTATCCGAAAACCGACGCCGTTTAGGCATGCAATTTCACCCGCATCTGAATGCCAAGCAAAATTTAAGCCCTTGGCTGTGTCACGCACAGGGAGAAGTATCTTTCGATATTCCTAGGACATGACTTTAAAAATTCTCGAGCTTAGGCACACACATTGCCAAGAATACCCATCATATTCTGGACTTAACAAATAAGACTAGCTTTCAATACAGGTGACATAATCAGATATGCGCGTGTTTTCTCCGGACTGCGCCGCGTAAATCGTAAACCTATCCATCCAAAGATGGGCTATTTTGTTCTTCGTACGCAATCATATGGAGAGAGAAAAACAAAACAGCCTTATTGCACACAACCCAATATAGTCAGGGTGACGGACAACACGAGGCAGTACTGTGGTACCACTTAGAAAACAACACAGCTGTATTGGTCCGCCACCTGGCAGATCAGTGAACTGCGCTGCGCCGAATAAATCCGTTTACGCTTTGCTTTTACAAAACGATAAGTACATGTAATAGTAACCACAAGTATCAACTGTTTCATTAAAAGCCAGAATATCATGGATACTTTTTATTATATAAATACTTATACGCATAGAAAAGTACTGAGATTGGTGTTCTAGCTCAAACTGCTTGTTACTCGACCCACTGAAGGTGCTATAATGCCGTGGAGCCGCTGCAGCCTGCTCATAATAATCGATAGGCAGGCCTTTACAGGCAAGAAGGTGAGTTATTACGCCACTGAAATTCCGAGACAAGATATATTCATTAG